TGTCGGTCCTCCATACTGCAGAACTTRAGAGGTAAATCAATGTCTGAATCAGGTGTGTTGGGGCCAGGAAAAACGTAAAACATGCAGGGCTGCGGCCCTCGAGGACCAGGATTGCCCACCCCTGGTTTATCAGCTTTGCACATCCTTAATTGTAAAACGCTATTTTTAACATAGATATTTTCTACTCAAAGAGAAAACTGCAGCAAAAAAAAAAAAAACCCTGATAAGCCCTCCTGCAGCAGCACAAGTCCCATGCAACATCATACTTATAAAATATAAAATGAAATATGCAAAATTGTCACAAAGATACAAATACTGTTTCTGATAGACGGAGCATGAAAGCAAGCAAAAATAGCGTCGCTGGCACAGCCGCCTGTATCTCCACGCTGTCTCCTCCTTGCACAAAAACGGTGCCATTTTCTTTCACGAGTACTTTAACTATTTTTATACGCTTTGCTGAAACAACTGTAAAGATGACTATATTTTCGCACTGCCTCGGCCAGCTACCCTCCATCAAAGCAGTTGAAGCAAAATGAGAGCATTAGTTAACCCACTTTTTTTGCGCAAACACACCAACAAATTTCGGAACAATTACACATTATTTGGCTCATATCCCTGCAGGGAAAAAAATGTCCTGCCATAAACTTGTGCACTGAACGTGTTACGCATCTCTAAACTCAGCTGCAGCAGCGTTTCCCTTCTAATCATGTTAATGAGCAGCAGGTTTGGAGCATAACCCAGGAGAGGCGGAATCCTTAACTGCTTTGTTAGTGGTGTTTAGAGAAAGAAGACCTCATAAAGTTGTTTAAAGGTGAATCCTTACCGGTAAGTTGGCTCATTTTCCAAGGTTAGGTCACATCAAAAGGGAAGGATGCATCATGAAGGGACTCTTAAAAGTTGCAAGATGATGCTAGAACACTAAAGTGCAGAAACAAACTTGCTAATGAAAAAACAAGCTCAAAAAGGTCATTAAACACACTGAGCTAGAAACCAAAGGTATGAGCCTGCAGTGACATTGGATAAAAAAATAATAAATGTGGCCACGAGTTAATAACTTTTGGCTACAACATCATTTTGAGCATCAGTAGCTCTTTGTGAAAGATACTGACAATTTTGGAGTCAGATTATTTGCTCTTTTTGTTTTTAACTCTTCAAAGTGACTGAAGTATTCATTCCTATATTATGTAAAACGAAATCACTTTAAACTTGTCCATGTTAACAATTAACAGTCTCCGCAAGGAAATGATTGCAAGAATTATTTCATGACCACGCATTAACCATCTTGTGGCCATGGTTTTTTATGTCATAGCCCAGCATTAACTTTTGTTTTTTTATCCAGTGTCACTGGATGGGCTCCATACAAGCAATCATTTCATTAAAAAAAAAACACTAAAATTCCAAACATTTCTTCATGTTGTTTAATTTCCTAGGAACAATTGATGCCAATGAGACAGCTGGATGATGTGTCACAGATTATAACTGTCTCTTCTTCAGTGTGTCTTAAAAAGCAGGTTTTTTGGGGGGGTGGGGGGGGGTGTACGAAACATCCAGGCTCCATTTAAAGCCTAGCTGAGCTGGATCTTAAGCTAAAACTTGGTCCGGCGGAAGCTGAATATCCTCAACACAGGTGAGATCTCATAATGTTACCTCAAAGTTTGACTGTAACGGCTTCAAATATATCATTTCTCACCTGAGTTGATTTTTGTGGCATAAAGGGTGTTCAGGAATTAAAAGTTTCTCAATTTATTGTATTTTTTTAAATCTAACGGGACTGGAAACTTTTTGAATGTTGCAGTTTTGTGGCTCAAAACCAAACGGCAAAGCTAACAGCTCATGGCTCYGCGAAATGTTCTCCTCTTACATCAGGTGAATGGAAGCACCTTGAGGCAAGCACAAAGGCCGTGAGGGGAAGGGGGAAAAAAAGAAGTGTTTTTACCCCACTGAATGCCATCTGCCTTCGCCTTCTGTGATGCTCGTGTGAGGCAAATGCAGAGGAGAGTTGCAGCTCGCACTTGGAGCCGTTCCTCCGGGGTCCGTGGAAATGTATTCTGCCTCCTATAGGACGCACAAAAGAAAAGGGGATCAAAACTTAGGTTGGCCATCTGCTGTGAGCAAATTTCCAAACATTTGGCAGCAGGAAAATAAGAGTTACGCATCTTAAAATAGACTAATCAGACTTTGGAGTTTCTCTGAAGTTACAGGAAATTTTGCCACCTGCTGTAATCAAGAAATCAGTCTTCTAGTACTTTTTTATTAACATTTTAAAAGCAAAAAAAGCGCAAATTGGTACTACCTACTGTTAGATGCTTCTGCACCGATGCATATATATTACACATATTGAGTGGCATTAAAAAGTGCCGTGCTTTGATGTGTTAATGTAGATTTAAAGAGAAGTCTTGACAGCTTTTAATTAAAATGTTTAAATAGTCCTCACATTGATGTCAGTGTTCTATTTTTTATTACCCAGATTTGATTTGACATTTTGTTTTTTATACTGAAAGGTTAAGAGATGGTTCAATTGATAATTTAATCATTTCAGGCAGTATATTAGAATAATAAAAGGCATCTTAAGACACTCCTTGGGTTTAAGTGACTTTATCATGTTGACACATCCTGAATCAACACTTTCACAAAGGCATCCGAAGGTCACGAAGTGTCAGATTATTTGGAAAAGCTCAGAGATAATTCTGGGAGTTTTAAAGAGAAGGCAGAAATAAAGATGGAGAAACAAAAAAGAAAACTTTAGAACTAAAACGTTTTTTGGTTTGCACTTTATGAACCAAATTTTGAGTTTTAAAGTGTTTACCTTTTGTAAGTTCTCATACATCCTCGTTAAACCTTCCCAGAAAAAGACGTGTGGATGGGAGCACATGTTCTAAAACCTGTACTTTTTTCGTTGATGGTGTCTTTCCAGGWGTGTAAGCTGCCCAATGATGCACCTCCATACCATCAGCGAGGCATGTGTACTGCTAGCATGGTCCTTGTCCTCTTTATTACAGTGAATTTGGCCTTTATGTTTTCCACAAATAATTTTAAATTTGGATTCTTCTGACCACAAACACTTTTCTACTTTACCAAGATTGGTTATTTTTAAGGTTATTTTACTTTATAAATTTAAATGGAAAGTCGGCCCACTTGGACTGGCCTTTGTTAGTTTATTTAGTCTGAGGATTGCATTGTTGTTCTAGCAAGCATAAGGAAATCACCACCACAAGTGACCCCAGGCTGCAATAAAGTATTTAAGCACATTGTAGGTAACCAGTCGCATAGCAAAATTTGTAAGTAAAGTAAAGTTTTAGCACCTTTCATGGAAATAGATTCACAAGATGCTGTACAATCAGAGGGAAATCTAAAAGATATACGAGAACAGGATATACAAAAATTTGGAACAAAAAAGTATAAAAGCTACACAACCATCAAAGTATCAAGACTGTGCAATCCGAAAAATAAAAACAATAATATCTAGACAAAAAATGGGGAGGGCAGAGTAAAACAYTAACATATTAAGATGAAGGATTTTTAAATCAGAAATTAATTTGGAGGCAGGTCTCCRAATGGGTAGATCGTGGAGTACTGGTACATTTTAGAAAAAATATTGTCCGGCCCAGTTCTGGCCCACACAATGCACTTGGCCTGAATACTGCAAAGAATGATGGCCCTTTGGTGGCCCACAGGTGGTTTGCCAAAGGTGGTCCCATGCATGGGTCAGTGCAACATAAACCAAACCACAGCCAGGTCAGCTGGGGCATGCCAAATTAATAACAGTGACAACACTGCCAAACCTGGCCCACACCTGTCTGCTAGGTCAGTGGTTCCCAAACTTTTTATCTTCTGATCCACAAAATATYCATGGCAAAAACTTGTGACCCCAAATATTACTGGTCTGAGTACACGAACTTTGTTAATAACCCTAAAAACACAGGCTTTTTGACAATCTAAACAGCTTATACACAAATATGAATACTTATTTATACTTATTTTGTGTTTTTGTAATAGTAATAGGGAAAATATTACATCAGCAATTATTTTATTACCCTTTAAATTGATTTCTGGAGATTATCCAAGGTGCTTCATGACCCATAATTGGGTCCCAAGCCCAACTTTGGGAACCAAAGTGCAGTGGTTCCCAAACTTTTCAGCTTTTGACCCACAAAATAACAGTAACAGAGACCTGTGCCCCCAACTATTTATGGATGATAAGCATTTGTATCAGGTCAATAAAACATGAGCATAGTAACAATATTTTTATACTACATTTATTCATTTTAAATACATTAACCTCACTCCTTTGTAACAACTAAGGCAAAAATTTAGAAAATCTTTTCAGGACCCCACCTTGATGTTTTGGGACCCCACTTTGGGTCCCGACCCCAACTTTGGCAAACACTGTGCTAGGTCATGTGAAAATGATGACCGTGTGAACATTTAAAACTTTTGCACAAACCATTTTGAAACTGTTGCAAATAAAACTGTTTTAAGACGACAGAAGTTTGTTAATGTTTTGGCTGCGTTTAAACTCGCCAACAGTGCATCAGTCATGTCGTACTTCAGTTCTGTTTTTTTTTTTTTTTCAAACCGGGGTTGTTCTAACAGGTAAGATATTGATTATTTGTAAAGTAAACATGTCAACCTGTTGAAAAAGTCCGGCTTTGCTCCCGTGGCTGTGAGGGAAAAGTCCATCCAAGAGGGCCAACGTTCACCCAAATCCTGATGAATTCCAGATGAGAGTCCAGACTGTCTGGCCTGAACACACACACACCCACACACACACACACACCCACACACACACACACAACAGGAAGGAGGGTGTGTGAAGGAGGATGGAGGGTGGAGGCAATTTCTAAAAACAACTCCTGCACCCTAATGTGCGTGAGCTTTGATGAGTGTGTGTTTGTGTCAGATCAGTGTGTGTGAGAGGGTCAGCACAATGACACAGTGGTGGATTTTACTCGCCGTTGTTTACCTGCTCAGCCTGCAGGCAGCTGCTCAGCACCACAGGAAAGGTAAGACGCACCTGCTAGTTAAAAGATGTACTTTGACACATAAATTTAACCCTAATCTGTCAGAAAATCTCCCCAGCATGAGAAAATGTTTGCTTTTCAAGACATTCCTAGGCTAGAACCAAAACGAGTTCCACCTAAAAGGTACAGCAAATTGTAAAAAAGGTGTAAAGAGTTGAGTTTTTATGTGTGCTGCTGTGAAAGAATGTGTTTATCTTCAATATTTGACACTAGAACAAGTCTGTATTTTTTTCCAGTGAAAAGTGACTGGCCTGTTTTTACTGGATCTGCTCATTGAGGAAATTCCTGTCTTGATACTCACATGGCCTCAGAAGTTTCGAAAACACACGTGATGCTAAACCAGCTACAGGCGAGGTCTTTTAGAGGGTTGGGTTTCTTGAAATATTATGTTCCTTGGAAATTATTCACAACTATTTTTTATTGGTTCAAAAGTTTATGTAATTGTAAAGCCTTTTTTTCTTGTTCGTTTTTCTCAGTTTGTGCCTCTTTCAAATGGACTAAATCTAAATCCGTATTTTAAGGTCTGTCTTTATGGCTTTTTTCAGGGCTGCTTGAGCTCTGATAATCTAATTGCCTAATATTAATTAACAGATTTGCTTAATGACAATCAATCAATCATGTATTTTGTTTATATTATGTGCATACCTGCAGTTTAGAACTGTGCATCAACTGGGTCTAATATATTTAGGATAATCTYTTTTTGCTTTAATTGAAGTTTTATGTAACATTTTAGATAAATCTGTTACAACATAGCTTTTTTCTATATAATTCAACACAAAATAAGCATTTTAAGCTTGTTTGYGTACTTTGGAAGAATACTCAGGTGGCTTAATTATGTTTTTTTATGTCATATATATGATTCCATCATGTAGGATTGGAATTGTTGGKTATGTGTATATWTTTATATAYGCCCTCCATGTATTTATCCATTTATTTTTCAGGTGAGCGGACAGATGTTGGGTGTGTGGTCCTGTGTTTTGTTGGTGTATATTTAATATACTTCTAATCGCTATTTCAATCTTTCTATCTTTCTAATTACTTCTCCCTCTGTTTTTCTCTCTGTCTCTTTTTTCTCTTCACTTTAAAGTCACTGATGATGAAGAAATAAATAAACTAATATTTGGTTTCACTTTCTACTGAAGTGACAAAAAAAATAATTGGAATCGTTTTCAAAAATCCCAACAATATTTGTGGACTGTCGTGAATTTGCGCAGAAATGACTATAATCAAGTCATTTATTAGAGCATCTATTTAGCATGCAAATGTGCAGCTAGCGCAAAAAAAAAAAAAGGTTTTCCTCCAACCCAGGTATAAAAATAAAAAACACTATTGCTGTTTATGCTATGCGCAACATATTTTACTGTGGGAGGGTTTATCCCCCACAACACTATGTTTCAGTTTTATACGAGAAAACATTGAAGCTTGTTGTGCTSAAAAAAACAGGGYACCACTTTACAATAAGGCTCCCCTCATAGATGGCTTATGAATAGTTTATAGATAGGTTATTAATTCATCTGTAAACACTTTATAAATCGTTAATAAGTGTTTAYTATTCATTAATTGAGGGCAGGAAAGAGACAAAACTGTCCGATTTCTTGCCAAATAGTGAACCAAATGTGTTCATGTATCACATTTAAAGGTGCTTAWTAAACATTTCAGACTAGTTTACTACCTTGTAAGCACAATAATGTATTGAAAACACATTTTACATTTAATATTGTACTGCATTACTGCATTATACATATCCACAGTAATCAAAGGGAGACTTATTGTAAAGTGTTGAACAGTATAATAATAATGTCATAACAGAGCCTTACAGTGTGCTGTTTTACACTTTACCATAAGGCTCGTTTATGGCATTTATACAAGTTTATTAGTCATTAATAAATAGTGTACCTACTGTCTTACATTTTACAATAAGGCTCCCTTTGACAGTTGTTAATATGTATAAGTAATATAGTTCAATATTATTTTTTAAATATGTGTTTCCAATATATAATTCTGCTTATAAACCTAGTGATTTGTACACAAACAGATTTGGCTCACTATTTGACAAGAAACCGGACAGTTTTGTCTCTTTCCTGTCCTTAATTAATCCATAATAAACATTTATTAATGATTTATAAAGTGTTTACAGTTTAATCAATAACCTATCTATAAACTATTCATAAGCCATCTATAAGGGGAGCCTTATTGTAAAGTGGTACCAAAAACAGTACAAGTTTACACTCTTCTACAATACCACCCACCAACATAACAGATGATTTTTGGGGTTAAACTTTTCACATTATACACTTATAAATGTGTTAAACAATCAAAGTCTGTTGAAATCTGGTTTGTTGTCACGATACGTGTGGTCCATTTAAACTTGCATGGGTTTTAATTTTCACATTTGTTTTTGGAACAGTAGAGGTGCAGAATCAGCTCTACAAGAATAAACAAACCAAAAATAATAAAAAAAAAATAGAGCCTCCAGCTGATCCACATTATTCGTAATGATTTAAATGGAGTAAAATAAATGTAGAAACCAGCATGGAAATACTTTAAAAAAATGTACATAAAAAAACCGAGTGCTGTTTGCTTCTTTGATTTGGACAAAACTGACCACTTTGTCCCACTGATCGTCACCAAATCACTGCCTGCAGCTTTGTTTGTCTGTTTGGTTTGTTGGTTTGTATTACAGATTTAAAATGAAACCACACACACACACACACTAAATATGGACTGGTGCAACTTTCATTCTGAGTGCACAAAAAAGGCTAAGAAGTCACAAAATAGTTTTTCAGTATTTATGGCAGTTTTGCTCTTTGGGCTGAAAGCAAACAGTCATAGGTATATTTAAACCAAAATGGATAAACGCACGGTTGTTTATGTATTCTCCTACATTCTCATTTATTATCAGTGTTTCCAATATCCACAGTGTCACATTCTATCAGTTGTTCCTGTAAAAGAGCACAACTTTATTGCCTCTTAGCCTCTGCTATTGATGTTGATGTGTTTGCATTGTAAGCGCTGGATTTTGTATCCGAGTCACGAGGACCGTTGTCTTTCCCCCGGATTTGAAGAGTAATTTGGAGGTGAATTGAAATGCGGAAGATGAGCTGCAGCTGTGAGGATTCGCTTCGACTTCTACGTCCTCCTCACCTCTCTCCACTGTATGCCACGAGTATCCAAACATCATCAGGATGTTGTTTTCCTGCAGCCACAGAGAGCCATTCAGCCGGGCTAATTAATGGCGCTTTTGTTGTTTCCTCATCTTCTCGAAAGCGGTTAGCAGGAGATTACAAGTTCCCTGCCTGGACRTAATGACACACGAGGAAACCTGAACGTTCAGAAGAGGAAGGAGAGGGAAAACACTGAAAGAACAGCTGACATGTGATCAAGGACATTTATATTAAAGATTCAATCTGAAATTTGCAAAAATAATAAGCTAAACTATATCAATTATCACCGTTTTACTGCACACCTGATCCTTGTCTCCTCCCAGGCAGTGGCGGATCWAGGATTTTTCTGAGYAAGGGGCAATCAAGGGGCCACTATATTTATTGAGGGGCCAAGTATTTGTTCAACCTTCTTTCACACAAATCCCCAGTTTTGGTAAGGTGTTTACACTTAACCAGTCACACATGTTCAAACACCTGTAATGTAATATAATTTTTAAAAAAGCCTGCACAATAAATTCTCCTTACCAGTTTTACATATTTTTACTAGAAAAAATACTTTCAAACACAGAGAACTTGAGCAAATCTAGTCATCATTTGTCAGTTGAAAGACTTTCTGCAGTATTGTTCTGATTCTCTTAAGAAGATAAGAAGACCTGTAAGCTTGATTCATGCTGGAATTTCCTATTTGACTCATTAGCGCCTCTAGGGTTATGACATGGAACTACATAATGGTATAAAAAATCACAGAGAATCTCATTACAATGTTTTCATTGTGTTTTTATGTAAATCACTGTTTTTATTTTACTGTGAACTCAGTAATATAATTGTGGATTTTTTCCTGAGAAAATCTTTTATTTATCTGGACTAACAGAAGGTTCAGAACTGATTATAAAACAGAAATGTTAATTAATCATCAGAAGTGTTTTGCAGTGATTTCTCTTAGAGTCTATCAGAAGACAGCTGAAAAGAGGTAATCATATCCTGTTTTGAACAGCCATAGAATTTTAACCTTGGGCTGGCGCTGCTAGCAAATTTTTATCTTTCTTTCTCTGACTCATCTCTAAGCCTGAAGGCGGAACCAAAGTTCGTCCGTTTCTTTTACTAACCCGGACAGCTTTGAGCGACACACTCTTCTTCCTGACTCCAACCAAGGAAGAAAGCTTAGGTTCTCTCCGGAGGGGGCCCAGTTTGGCTTTAAGTCTGAGCCCAGGAGCTAACTAGGGGAGACTTAACAGCCAGAGACCCGGCACACCGCCGGCGGTCCCACCC